CACTGCAGTGGCAGTGGGGAGCTTGCAGTGCTGTGTCCTTACCCATTGCACCACCCGGAGGGCCCTTTGATTACTGATTTTGACATCTTTTATCCTTTGTATATTTTTCTTCAATTGAAAAAAAACTTAAGCAAAAGCAAAATATTTAATTTCCTGTAACTCCTTTATTTGCAGTGGGCTGTGATTGGAACTTTGTATGCAAATCTGCACAGGTGTTTATGCTACCCCAGGCCAGGCAGTTGGAGACCCTTTGTTCCCAGATCACAGATTATTAGGGGGCAGAACAGGCAGGGACTCAAGGTGGGAGCAGCTTAGGTGAGTGGAGATTACTAAAACAAAGGGGGGGAAGGAGTAAAACAAAGGGGGGGGGAAGGAAAGGGGAGTGAGGGAGACAGAGGAATCAGAGTTGGGTGCAAGTCTTCCTATCCTGCCTGTAGCAGAAGTTTATTTTACACATTAGGAGAAAGCAGTGGGGTGGCATCAGCACATGAACTGGGCTGAGAGATTACAATCATCTCTTTTTTTTTCTAAGAACACTTTAGGGTCATATTGCCCTTTAGCTGAGATATAACATTCATTATTCTTAAAATCAATCTGTTAAAGTTAAGATAGGTACATAAATGCATAACATTTAAGGTTAACATTGTTACATTTACTACAGTGTTGATTGGCTAAAATAAAGCCCCTTTAAACCTTAAATGCTACTTAATGACCTTCATTCTCTTTGAGACATCTTAGAGGGTGGAGGCTTGGCTGGAGATGTGAAGGGGGCAAGGTGAGGTCGCGGGCTAAGGAGAAGTTGTGAAAGAGGGTAAAGTAAGGAGTTTTCTGGTAGATAAATCACTAAGGGAGATACTAAGATTTCTCATTTAAAGACGGAGCAATGAAAGCTTAAGGAAGAGAGCAGAGTGATAAGATTTGGGTTCTGGTCCAGGCAGTAAAAGAACTTTAATTATTTTTTAGCATGTTCTAGTACTGCCTTGTCTTACAATATTGATTGTGTTATAATTTTTATTATCAGCCAGTTGTAATATTATTTTTGGCTTTCTAGAGGAATTTCCTGTCTTGAGCAGTGCTTGCTCACCTGAGCCAGGCAGCGCCTTATGAGGCTAAGGCAATCTGGCTGTAAGCTGATGGTTGCTTAGAATATTTTGATATTACAAAAAAGGGAGGTCATAACATCAGTTAGCGTGGAAATTCTGATTTTTTCAGAGCACTTCCTTCTCTATCCAGAATATGTCAGTCGGTAGAGATTGCAGAGCTTGTGTCATCTCCCCCCTTTTTTGTTTTTAATTGAAGCTGAAATGTCTTTAATTTGACGTGAGTCTTTTTGAGGGCCCTGAAGTGGGCGCAGACAAGGACTGGAAATATAAACAGGAGAGAGAGAATGATAAGAGGAGAAATGCCAAAATTAATCAAAGAGGGAGGGGAGAGATAAGCAGCTGTAGAGGTATTATGTTGAAGAGTGGGGAGAAAAGAGTCAGCAACTTTAGCAGGAGAGGCAGCGGGATCTAGGAAAGGCTGATAACCTTAATTGTATCCTGCAAGGAAGACATATAAAGGGAGACATTAGTATTATTTCATACACCAAGTAAATGATTTTTTAAAAAGATTTATTTTATTTATACATACAGAACTGGGGTACAGGTCAGAGGCTCAGGGGGGTAAGAGGCTTCACCAGAGAAAGTGTGGGGAGCAGAACAGGTAGATCCACAAAGTAATCTGCTGAGGGGAGCAGGGGGCAGTTAGGAGAGGTCTGCCGCGCCATGTGGTCACCTCCGGGGCAGACGGAATCGAACTCATGCGGAAGTGGCTTTAGCTTCTCAGTGCTGTGCTTTAACCCGCTGCGCCACCAGGGAGGGCCCCAAGTAAATGATTTTTAACATTTTTACAATGAACTGGAGTTGTACAGATGAGGGTAACACAAATCCACGTGCATTGAGAGTGACAACTAGTGGTCAGATGAGTCTTAAATCTGATTACCTACTTATAAAACAATGTCTTTTAAAACATTTATTT